CTTTGTCAGCACAGAGCGTTGTGAGGCCTGTGCCCTTTGCAGAGGCCTGAAGATCAGGCCTGTGGAGGCTGGTGGCGCCCTGACCTTTCTGGGGAGTAGGTGGGGCAGTGAGGAGCGTGCTGGGCACACCCACCATGTCCCCAGTGCCAGGCGGCCAGGACCTCCCCCTGCTGCCATGTGCAGGCCTGGGGAGGGCGCGGGGCTGCCCTCAGGTAGTTTGGCTGGGCGTTCTGTCTCACCCGAGAGCCCAGCGGGTTCCCTGTGTGTGTGTATGCTGCTCGCACGCGCGTGGGCTCACCGCTCCGCTCTGCCCCGCCATCCCCGCCTGGCCTCCTTTCCAGCCCTGGGTGAGGGCATCTGGTCACGAAAGCGCTGAAGAGCCTTGTATCTGCCCTTGGCTTTGTAGTTCACTCTGGCAGGCTCTCTCCACGTGGGGGGAGCCGTGATCACGCTAGAGGATTCTCTGTGTTGGGCTGTCCTGTGCCTGGTGGGCTGTAAGCGGCATCCCTGGACTCCACCCACTAGGGTGGCAGCAGAAATGTTCCAGGCGTGGCCTGGTGTCCCTCGAGGGGCAGAGTTGCCTGGGCTGAGATCCGCTATTCTGGTGGAGGGTCCTGGGTCTCACAGCGGGCCCTGAGGCCAGCCTCTGTAAGTCCAGAGGCAGAGCTGAGGGGCTGACGTAGGGGAGGGAGGCTACCTGGGGCCCGTCCCCTGTGGGGGCGGGGGGGGGCTTTGCGGCTCCTTCCCCTCGATTCACCCAGCACTGTCCTCTCTCCTGGCCTCACTGTGCGGCACAACCTGCCGTTCCTTCTTTTCCTTTGGATGAGAGGCTGGGGTGCACACACCTGTTGAGGGTCCAGTCTCTCGATATGCTGAGCTCCTCGGCAGGAACAGAATCACCGGGGGCTGCCGGGTCATGGATGGGGGCTGCTCTGCCATCCGGGTGGCCTCCTGGAGACTCGGGCTGGCCCCCGAGGTGAGCCCAGGGTCGCAGGCTCCAGCCAGCAGCCCGTCCTTGTGGGCACAGGTCCCAGGCAGCGTATGGACGAGGAGGCTGACTTCGCTTTGCCATTCCCTGGCTGTGTGAGGATGCGGGTCATCCAGGCCTCTCTGAGCCTCAATGTCCCTCTCTGGGAAATGGGTTAACACAGCCCCTCTTGTGGCTTTGAAATGCTTTGTAAGTTATCTCAGGCTTGTTGCAGAGTGCGGAGCACTCCAGGGAAGCAGGTGAATAGATGCAGATATGTGGTATCCTGGCATGTCAGGAAACGGGGGCTCCCTTCCTCCCCAGCCTGAGAAATACTCACACCAGGTCGGAGTGTCCCCGTGGTGGCTGGGACAGAGTTCTGGTCCTGGCAGTAGAGAGTGTAGAACCTGGTAAATGTGACCACTGCCTCAGCTGGCCGGACCTGTCATTTTTAAAGCCCTGGGTCCTGCTGTGTGGACGGCATGAGGCCCGGGTCTAGGCAGCGCGTCCAGTGTGTGGGTGTGTGTCACAATCTCTGGGGGCCTGTCAAATGCAGATTCCCAGACCCTATCTGACTTCTCAGTCTGCAGGGGATCCACATTTTTAGCAAATGCTTGGGGGGGTGTCTCAGGCAGGGGCATCCCTGCCCATGTTTGGAGAAGTTCTGGGCTTCACGCTTCCACAGCCTCCAACTCAGGAATGTTCCTGAGGCTCCCGGAGCCGGGTGGGGACGCTCATGGGGCCAAGGACAGCCCGGTGGGGGCCGCACCAACACACGCTTCCTCGTGTCTCCAGTTTGCTCCTTTCCTGAGCGGCGTCCCTATTGCTGGAGCCCCTCGTCTTTCTCAGTGGGGAGACTGTTTTCGGTGGGCTGTCCCAGCAGCACTGTGTGCCCGGCACGTTCCAGGGCTAGGTCTTGGGGCAGAGCCCTCTGCGCAGCTCAGCTGAGATGCAGGGCAGGTGAGGGAATGGGGCCAACCTCAGGTGGGGTCAGGAGGCCGCCCCCTGGGATGAGGGCTCCAGGGGACACAGTGGCGGGTACGGGCCCAGGTAGAGATGGCCTTGAGACCCGGGCTGGCCCCCGAGGTGAGCCCAGGGTCGCAGCCTCCAGCCAGCAGCCCGTCCTTGTGGGCACAGGTCCCAGGCAGTGTATGGACAAGGAGGCTGACTTCGCTTTGCCATTCCCTGGCTGTGTGAGGA